CCACCATGTTTCCATTAGAGAAACAATCCACTAGAGGTACACTCAAATCGTCAAACCTGTTCCTATTGTCTTCTTGAACCTACCAAACTAGGGATGGCTGGCTCGTTGCCAGGCCATTAAATTGATTGAAGTGAACCATGAAAGTGGTGTATAATGATCTATATATTTCTACGTATTAGCTTTATTAAATGAATTAATTATTGAATTTATAGGTTGGATGGATGACCTAAGTCATATGGTTGTAAGGGTGTAAACGAGTTGAGTTGAATAGTGGTATTATCGAGCTGAGCTCGTTTAGCTCATCTTGAGCTCGAACTCGACTCGTTGTATAAAAATCAAGCTTGAGCTCATCTAAAAAGCTCGAGTTTGACTCGATTAAAAATCTCTAAATTGACTCATTTATGAAGCTTGAATTTTTGTTTTAAATTAGAATTTTAGGTAATCTTTTAAAATTTTACTTGTAATTTAAAATAAATTATATAGTTTTAACTGAAATATTGATTTTCACTTTAATACAATTTCATTATTCCTATCACAATTTCATCTGAAAATGCCAGTCCGATTTGTTCTAAATGTCAAAAATACGTGCCAGCACTCCACAAACACAACCAAATGATTTTAAATGATTAACAAGAAGATACGTAGGCCCATCCATGAACCATGTCAAGATGATAGAGATGCCAAGTAAACTTTGCATATATTTACAAGTTATGCATTGTTTTTTAGACATATCTTCTATCTTGTTTAAAATATACAGTATCACATAATATTCCATCTACCATTTTTAATCCTTGTCTTGTTAATCATTATTCTATGTTAATATTCATAACTATAAGCGTTTCAAACATGATAGAAAATGACAACCAAAATGACATCAAAAAAATGGTTTTCCGTTACTCATGGGTGAAGACCCACGAACAAGAAGAAGAGCCCCAAATCGTAGTCGTCTGAAATGCCAATAACGGAAGGACGAAAGAAAAAATCAAAGAGCTAAAGTCGCAGTCGTCATGACGAAGGCGAAGACAAGGGCGTGAGGTAGCTAGGTTTTTATTTCTTTAATTTGTATAATATAATATAAGTTAATACTTAAAAAATAAAATAATATAGATAATGCAATCGAGTAGCTCGATAAACTTTCGATCGAGAGGTTAAGCTCAAACTCGAGCTCGTTTAATATACAAGTTCAATTACAGGCTCGAGCTCGAACTCGAAGCTCGACTTGCAATCCCGTTTATTCGAGTTTGAGTTGGTTCACGAGCTGGTTTGGCTCACTTACACCCCATATGCTTGGCTATGTAACCATCCATGATGTCGTAAAGTGTAGAATATCTTAGCGTATGATGCGATGTTTGACTTGATACAATAACATTCTAGAAGTGTCCGTGCTTCTTAGGCCACCATTTTGATTTTGAAGGTATTATTTTCCACAATCATTTCATTGTAGTGCTTTTTCTTTTGTTTATTTGTTGATGCTTCCATTGGTTGTTGATTACTGTAAATTGCATGGTCTTTTGAATTCAGCGATTAAATTAGGACAATCATTGTGTTTTATGATGAATACTGATGCGAGCAAAAATTTGGGAGAGCAAAAACAAACTCTTCCTAGGATAAAAGAATTACACAAATATACCCAAAAATAGACAAAATACGACTTCACTTTTATAATTTTAAACGACTCTTACAACTCTTGACACTTACAAACGACGCTTACAAACTTTTGACATAAAATCTAAGTTTGCATTCCTTGAGATGAAAGATACAGGTGAGGTGGTCACTTATGGATAGAAGAAGTAGGTTAGAAGCCGAGACGAAGTAGAGGAGGACAAGCTCGCAAGCTTTCCCAAGAAGGAGAGGAAGAAGAAGTGGAACAAGATTGCAAGCTTTTCCAACAAAACCCTCAGGTTTACATTTCCAAAAATAACTCACACAACATCTTTTTTTTTTTTGACAAAAACTGATGTAGAACATACATGTAAGGATGATTAACTTAGGGAGTTTGCACGCTTAATTTTAGAAACCACAATAATTATATCTTTATATTGATTTGTGAACGACAAAATAAAACACAAAGAGCGGTAAGACAAGCTTAGGCTAAATCACATGCATAGGAGTTAAGATCGTAAAACATCCAATTAATATAACATTGCATATATGAGTGGTTTTTGACGATAATCCATAAGCTAACAATGAGAATAGTCACTATGAAGTAGGCCCACTTACTCACTTTTTAAAATACTAGGCTTTAGCGGATAGAACTAATATGATCTCAGTGAATCAATTAATTCCACATTAGAAAGTGACTAGGAAAATAAAAGAATGAGGGAAAAAGTTCACCGAATCCTGGGTTTTGGACTTGGAACAACAATTAGAAGATCTTCATGGTCAGGACAGTCGCCCCTTTTGGCTGAATTTTCTTTGGACAACAACCTGGATTCTGTTTGGAGAATTGGGCGCAGTTGGAGGACTTCTGATCAGCAGAACAACTGTTTCTACTGCTGAAATTCTTCTGGACAGCAACCTTATAACTTAGAAAATCTGAGCAGCAGCCATAGGAAGGCTTTGGACAGCAACAGGAGGATTCTTAGCAGTGAAACTGTTGATTTCTCTTTGCAGGAATTTCAGGACAGTGGCCACTGTCCTGAAATTTGAGGCAGCAGGTTTGGAAAACTTTTGGACGGCGTGACAGCAGTAAGAAGCCTGCTGGAATTGTTGAACAGCAGCTAGGGGTGTTTGAACACCCCCTATGGAGGCTTGAACAGCAGTTTTGGCCCTTGAGTCTCTCCAACGATGCAGGACAGCAGGAAACTGATAGACAGTAAGCTGTAGGAGAGCCGCCAGTATTTTGGGGATCTCAAACAGCAGGAATGCGTAATCTCCTGTTCAGGAATTCTGAGAGAGCAAAGGAAATTTGAAAGTTCACCAAGTGGGGGTGGCACCTTGGGATGGGGGTTAATGGGAAAGCAATAAGGGATTTAATTGAGTGGAGGGAGAAAAAAAGGATGGGCCGGCAGATTCAAAGAGAGAGGGAGTGGTTAGGGAAAGGTATTAATGGGTTTCCAAAATAAGATTCATTAAATTAGGAGGAATTAATGATTCCTAATTCCTCTTAATTTAAATTTGAATTTGAGTTGAATGGATTTTAAAACTTACCAAATATAGACCTTGCCAAAATAAGAAAGATTTCTAATTTTGAAATCTGAAATCAGAACTTGAATTATTTCCAAAATAAGGTACATTAAATTAGGAGGAATTAATGACTCCTAATTCCTCTTAATTTAAATTTGAATTTGAGTTGAATGGGTTTTAAAGCTTACCAAATATAAACCTTGCCAAAATAAGAAAGATTTCAAATTTGAAATATGAAATCAAAACTTGAATTATTTCCCTCTCAATCTTCATGATCCAAGTTTGGGAAAATAGCAAAGGCAATGGTCACCTTGGGTACAAGGGGCGGCGGCTAGGGTTGGGGAATCCCAAGAGGGTGGCAACTTGATGAATTAGGGTTTGAGATGGAGGGGAAGAGGGAAGTGGTGAAAGTGGATCGTCGGTAAGGGTGATGGGTGGAATTGCCGGTGATTAAGATGAGAAGGACTTGAGGTGTCCGACGACTAGGGATGGGGGAGGGGAGAAGAAAAAGATAGGGAATAAAAGATAAAAATCACGAACCCGGACGCTTCCAAGGTTGGTGGGTATTGCGTCGCCCTTCACCAAGAGACTTCCCCAAAGTTCTCTCCAAGAACTCCCAAACTCTCACAAGAGCAAAGCGCAAAAATTTTCATAATAATCTTCATTAACCCTCAAGGGAGGAGGGAAGGGTTTTAAATAGTCAATACATTGTGACAAATAAAAAGTACTAAAATGCCCCTAGGGCTTACACATCTCTAAACCCTTAAGTAAGGGCAAAAGTGGAAAAGACAACACAATCATAAACTTTGTTTTGAACCCCCCCGCCTACATCAAATACTCAATACAAATTAATTAGTGTGGTTTGAATACTGACAACTTAGAATGAATTCAAATGAATTTCAATGCCTCTTCGTTAACCTCATTCCCTCAACATCTAGTCCACTGTGTCATTCCAATCCAAAAAAAATATTTTTATCGTTAGTAAAATTGATTTTCATGAAAATTTTGCTTAAACAATTGTGATCATCTCAGCATTAATAAATAAATGATAGTTCAACATCATGACATGGTTGTTTCTACTTGATGCTTGTGCTGGTGATATGAAATATTTATTCATTGGAGTTACAATTGTTTATTCTCCATCAACAATGCCATACTTGTAACATCTCCACCTGAATGCAGAATTATGGGAATGAAGAAGGCTCCTCTTAAACTTTTTCTCAAATTCTTCTTCTTGCTGCTCTATGCTTTATATTTTACTTTTTATTTAATATTTAAGAAGATCTCTCTCTCTCTTTCTGATAGAGGACGTTGGTCATATAATTGAATCATTTGATTCTGATCTGTGTTGCACTTGTTTCTTTATATGATGTTCATACTCAGTGATTTGGAAGCTTCCTTATGAGTTGATTGAGTGAGAGCTAATTTAGTTGTGGTTGTCTTGATGTTTTTCTTTTTAGAATGTACTTTGTGTTCACTTTATAGGTCATATCTAAAATAAATTCGGGCAACATTAAGCTTTGTTATTTGTTTTAAAAAAGACCTAAGGACTTTTTTATGACAAGCCACAATTAGAATAAGGGGCAGAGTAGGATTACACTTGGCCTTCAAAGGGACGTTTGTGTCTCAAAATGTCCTTCTCACCTTTCACTGCCTCCTCCCCACTATTCTATTAACGAAATGAAGTTCATATCTGTGTATTTGCTTTAGCTCTTTTTCTTTATCTTTCTAACATAGTTGTAACCAAAAAAGATCACTTGTTTTTTAAGTACTAAACAATTTTAGCTTTTCGTTTTCAATGTCTTCTATCAACTCATACTTGAAACATTCAACAGAACCAAAAGAGTGATTTTTATATGTTTTCTATCTTCTAGGTTAAATGAATATCTATCTACATCAATGAGGGCATCTCAGGAACGAGCAAAGCGTCCCAACTATAGACCATTATTGGAGCATGATGGACTTCTTTGGCAGCGCACTAACAATCAGGTGAATTGCCCTGTTATGTTTTCGTTTTTCTATAGTTTACTCTCTTGGATTTGTCTTGCTTTGGCTCTTAGTTATATGTCACCTTCATAACATTTGCACCATCCTATTATCAGCATTTATCACTTATGCGGGAGGGGTTAATGGCATTTTGAGATTATCCCCTACTCATAAATAACCTTCAACTTTCTATAAGATGGTTGATAGGAATCTGATCTCCATACAACCAAATGACAACAATAATTAAGAGAAAACACAACAAAAATTAGTGAGAAAGAATCAGATTATGGGATAATTTTATTGATATTGATTATTGACACAACAAAAGATACAAGTTAATCTACTACTTTAAAGGTAGATCGACTCTCTACAAACACTAGGCGCTGCTAGGAATAACTCCAAAGAAAATAACGGGAAAACACAAAATCCCATAATGAAAATAAAAAAACTTTATTAATCCTAATTAAATCTTCCTAATTCCCTCTCAAATCTGAATTCAAATCATCATTCTTTTCCTAAATAGACCTTTGTAATTTCCTCACAAATCTGAATTCAAATAAGCCCTCATTTCCTAAATAAACCTTCTTAATTTCCTCCAAATTTTGGTTTTATATGGTAAGTGATTAAATGTAGAATTTATCCCCTTGGAGCCCTCTCTTTCTTTGCCCGCCGCCTACACTAGTGGGGCCCATAGGGCTCTTCTGCCCGCTAGCTAGACTAACCCCCTTGCTGGGGTCTGGTTGATTGGCTGGATCGGTTCAGCCGATCCATCAACACTCTACTCCCAAATAGTCATCTTATCCTCAAGGTTGAACGAATGAAACTGTTCCTGATTCATCCGAAATGGTTCCCATGTTGCTTCATAATATGGTAGATTCTTTTAGGGGTGTCAATATTTGACCCGACTCGAAAACCCGACCCGAAAATTTCCGAACCCGAACCGGGTCGGGTTCGGGTTAGGGATTTCGACCCATTTGTAAAATCGGGTCGGGTTCGGGTTGACCCGGAAATTCGAAATCAACCCGGTTTGACCTGTTTTAATTTAACTTAGGAGGGTTTTAAAGGATTTTTATGAACTAAGTAAATGATATTTCAAAAAATTATAAACATTATTACACAAATTAAATTAATCTTGATTTATTTTAAATTAATTGAAGTAAATCTTACCTTAATTTGATTTAGATTTAAATAAATTGAATTAAATAAAAAAATTTAATAAAATATACCCGAAGCGGGTCGGGTTCGGGTTCGGAAAACCGACCCGTTTGCAAAAACGGGTCGGGTTGAACAGTGCCGGGTCAATTTCGGGTTGGACCCGAACCCGACCCGTGACCCGATTTTGACAGCTCTAGATTCTTTCACTTAATCAGCACTTCTCTAACTTCTTCGGTTGTCGATCGAACTCCTCTCACTTCCATTGGATCTAGGATCACCTTCATTTCTTCTGTCAAGGTCACCGGCATTGTCGTTGATGGACTGTGGAAGTTGGAGATTTTGTAATGGTACAGATTTGTCCGGAGCGGTTCCCTCAAGGATCCGTTAAAAAGTTGCATGCTAGGAGTGCAGGACCTTTTAAAATAATTTAAAAAATAAACATTAATGCTTATGTGCTAGACCGTCCTAAAGGTTTTAATATAAATCCGACATTTAATATTGAAGATCTAGTAGCATTTGAGGGACCAGAGTTTAACCATAGAAATTCACTACATGATGAGCATTGTGTGAACCTATCCATTGAGAACCCTAGCCTACCTCCACTCCCCAATCTGCTTCATCTACCTATGCAGAAAAGATTGAAGCAATACTTGACAATGAAATCATTTTCACTAAAGGTGGGTGCCAAAGGTATTTAGTTAATTGGGAAGAAAAACCTGTGACAGAGGACACGTAGATCGAGCGAGATGAGCTGCAGAGATTGGATCCATATCTTTTAGAGTTATACGAGAGTTCTCGAGATGTTCACTCGACATGGTCGAGTTTTCTCCCACCTGGGGAGAATGATGAGGACATCAGCAGGAGATTTTGGCGCGTTTATCAGAGAAGGCATCAGAGATTGACGGCCACGAACAGGAGCCTTTATTTTTGATGCATTTTATGTATTATTTATTTTTATATTTCATTTTTCCCTATTTTACCTCTATGGGTAGTTAGCTTGTTATTGTAGCCTTATGGACATTCTGGTCCTTTTTCTTTTGTCATGTTGAGGCCTATATATAAAGCCCCTTCTATTGTATTTGAGAGGATGATTTGATGAATAAAATTTTGAGCTTTTGTCTTCTTCATTGTTGTGAGCTTTGAGAGAAGAAAGAGAATCCTAGGTGAGGGTGATTGCAATACTCGTTAGTCTTTGGAAGAGTCTGAGACTCGCGGCTCATCTTTTTCCTTCCCCCCTTACATCCAGCCACCTCCCCTTTTCCCAAAACCCGTCGGCCTGCTCTCCACCGTCTTCCCCTCCTCTTCTTCCCTAACCGAGCCCCTTCCCACCCCATAGCTGCTGGCCTCCCCTTGGCTTCCTTGCCGCCGTCCGCCCCTCCAAAACTCATAGCTGCCGGCCTCCCCTTGGCTTCCTTGCTGCCGGCCGCCCCTCCAAATGCCCCATGAATTTTGAATTTCAAAATTCAATCCCCCTTAATCACCTTCCTAAAATAACTCATATCAATTTGGAAAGTGTCTTTATTTGAAATCAATTATATATTGGAATTTCAAATACATTCTTCTTTGATAATCCTTAATTAAGAAGCCTCCCCAATTACATTAAATTTGAAACTAAATTCAGATTTAATTCCAATCTCCAATTAATGCATATGACCCACATACATTGAACCTAGACAACCTCTCTCCCTCATATGGCCGACACCTCCCCTTGCCTTTTTCTCTCCCCATTTTAATTCCTAATCTCCAATTAACTCTCCCCTAAATCCCTCATAAGCCGCCGGCCCCTATAGCCCTATTGGGATAATTTGGAATTCAAATTATTCTCTTTCCCTCTCTTTGAAAAACATGAAATTAAATTTAGATTTTCAAAGTTTTCTCCTCCACCTCCCTAACCATAAATCCAAGGAATCCCCATCTACAACCCTAACCGTCTCCCTCTACCCGAGCCCCTAAGTCGCCGATTCCTCACCTCCCTTCCTATTCAAGCCGCCGGCCCCGCTCCAAGGATCCCAAGAAAGGAGTCTCATAAATTTGAATTCAAATCAGTCATTTTTCCTATAAACATTTATAATTTCCTCCCAAATTTGAATTCAAATCATCCTTTTTTTTCCTAAATAAACCTTCCTAATTCTCTTACAAATTTGAATTCAAATCAGTTCTCTTTCCCTAAATAAACCTTCTTAATTCCCTCCCAATTTTTGTTTTCTATGATAAGTAATTAAAGGTAGAAAAATTCCCTTTGAGCCCCCCTCTCTCCTTGCCTACACCAAACACTAGTGGGGCCCATAGGGCTCTTCCCCCAGCTAATTAGACTGGTCCCTCTTGTTGGGGCCGGGTTGATTGGTTGGAACGGCTTAGCCAGTCCATCAATGGCCCTAGTAATCACTTAATTCTCAACTTTTTTACTTCTCATTCAATTTATTTTTAGACATGTTGTAATAAATTAATTCATGGTTTTAAGTTCCTTATGCTTAAGCTCTGCCTGTTGCAGACACAAAGATAATTGTTTCTATGACTGTCTCATTAACTGGGCATGTTATTCCAATTAGCGGTCATCTAGTCTTTCCTATGTGAAAAGTTCATTAGGTTTGTAACTTTTGATGGTAAGCTGTAATAGTTTGAATGAATAGTACATAGTACAAGATTGTAGTACTTGTGTAGGCAAGATAAAATTCAACTGCATATACCATTTCACAGGAGCACTTAGAACTTATCATCTTACTAGGGTTGGTTTGTAACTGATGAAATGTTACAAATTTGTGTACCACAACAAAATTAACATGGAAATATATATTTCCTTTTTTTTCCCTGTTGAGCTATTCTTGTCATGGGATATTTAAAAGTTTTCTTAGCATCCACCACGCTGCATTTTGACTTCTTGCTCTCTCTATGCGGATATTTGTTAATGACCCAAATTTGAAATGCAAACTCAAGTTTGAATGGTTTTGTTTTACAATCAATGGAGTTTTTCATCATAGGATCGGTTTAAAGATAAACTAATTGTGAGTTTGTTTAAACTCATAAATGTATAAAGCTATTCTGCATTTGGAGCTTCTGTTGTATTGGAGCTTGAAAGTTGGCTTGCATATCGTCATTTTTAAGCTATATTATAATTTCTAGATCAGTTTCCGTGCTGTTCTGTAGAGGTTACACTTTTAGAAAGTGCCTGTGAAATAGACAACTCCAGTACAGAATAACTAATCTGACGTTGTAGAATTATAATTTATAAACAAAGTAGAGGAACTAATGATATACAGTTATTGCAATAATATGAATTAATCAGACAAAAATATGTTACACAAAATTGTTGTTGAAAACCACTTCTATTTGTACGTTATACGTGAATTAGCTCCACCTTCAAGAAACTTACTATAAGACTCTCCCATTGACTGCAGTAAAAAGTTGACTCGTGGTTGCTGAGCGATATACAGTCTACGATAAAACCTAAAATGGATACTTACACAAGTTCTTTGGTGATTATGGATTCTTAACCCCACCGCATTAATTTGGGCAATGTTTATCAGAGGTTTTGGTTTGTTTAGGAAAGTACAAAGATCCTTGCTGTTTTAGTTTAGATAATTGGAGGAATTAGGATAGGTGACACTTTGGAGAATTTATTGTTAGAGTAAATGCACACATCAGCAATTAATATTGCTAACCTGTCACCACTGTACGGCGTAATCAAGATTTCTCCATTCTTGATAACTGCATGCCTTATCTCTGTATCTATAAATACATATTCATGTAATAAGGTTGGTTAATGAAATATAATTATTTTTTACTGCATTCTCTCTTCTGCTCCTTTTGCTCCGTGTATCATCGTTCTTGCCATCTGGTCAAGAACTCTATTCTGGTATCAGAGAGCCTCCGCTTAATAGCTCTCGTCAATCTCAATGGATGAACAGGATTCAGCGGCCTCTCCTCCGTCCACTATATCTCAAGACCCGCCATCATCCTCTGATTCCATCTCTCTCCCAATCATGTCGCCAGCATCCCCCGTCTACACTTCCCACTCTTTCCATTCCCACTAGCCACATCAACTCAACCGAATCATCCATTACTCAACCCCAATGCAATCAAACTCAACACATGCATATCAGACTAAAATCAGGTATATCCTGGCCTAAGCAAATATTTGATCTATTGACTGTCTCATTCCCTAAATTCACACCAACCTCATACTCTCAAGCCGCAAAACACATATGTTGGAGATCTGCTATGTCTTCAGAATTCCTCGCTCTGCAAAAGCTAGGAACCTGGTCTCTCGTTCCACCACTAGCGAACGAACCCATCCTCGGCTGCAAATGGACGTTCAAAACAAAACTACAATCCAATGGTCAAGTTGCCAGATACAAGGCTCTCTTGGTTGCTCAAGGCTGCTCTCAGGAATTCGACGTCAACTACACTGAAACATTCATCCCTGTAGCCAAAATGGTGACAATTCGCATTCTCCTCTCAGTTACCCTTCACCGCCACTGGTCCGTTATTCAACTCGATGTGTCAAACGCCTTCTTGCACAACGAACTACACGATGAAGTTTACATGAAACAGCCTATCGGCTTTGTGGACTCTCAACACCCTCAATACATCTGCAAACTGCACAAATCCATCTACGGATTAAAACAGTCACCACGGCAATGGTTCCAAAGTTTTACCACTTTTCTTCAATCTTTCGGTTTTAAATTCAGCAAAGCTAATCCTTCCCTATTAATTTTCAATCAAGATAATATTCTAGCGTTCATTCTTATCTACGTGGATGACATACTTTACAAGGAACAACTTTAACAAAATTCAAAGTTTCCTGCAACAGGTACAATCAATGTTCAGTCTCAAGCAGCTCGGAGACATTTCTCTCTTCCTCGGCATACAGGTTCTCAAAACATCAAATGGATATTTTCTGCATCAGCAGCACTACGCACGTGAACTACTTCACAATGTTGGTTTCTCAGAATGCAAACCATCCATGACACCAATAGGCGTGAAATGGTCTTGCAATCCTGATGATAAACCATACTAAGATCCTCAATTGTTCTGCAAGCTAGCAGGCTCATTACAATACCTCTCAATTACTAGACCAAATATTGCCTTCGCAACAAATTCTATGTGCCAGCAAATGCATCACCCCCGAAATAGCGACTATCATGCTCTCAAGCGCTTATTAAGGTGCATTAAAGGCACCATCAATTTTGGCTTACCGATCACGCCGAGCAACCTTCAACTTTGCACTTACACAGACGTCGACTGGGCAGCTGATTCAACCGACCAAAATCTATTACAAGATTCTGTATGTTTCTGGGTCACAACCTCGTTTCATGGTCTGTCAAGAAACAAGCTACGGTGGCAAAATCCTCAACAGAAGCCGAGTATAGATCACTTTCTTCCCCCACCTCGGATATTCCATGGCTTCGTCGATTAGTAGAAGAATTTCAAATATCTCAAAACTCTTCCACACCCATTTTCCGCGATGATACCTCGGCAATCGCTCTTGCAAATAATCCATTCTTCCACACCCGGACAAAGCACGTTGAAATTGATTACACTTTATCAGCGGACATATCAAACAAGGAGCTATCAACATTCGTCGCCTCAACTCCACCGATCAGATTGCAAACGTTCTCACAAAATCTCTCTCTGCAACTCAATTCCGCGACCTCAGATCCAAATTAACCATTCATTTCTAGAATTATTAATTTGCGGCGGGCTGTTAGAGTAAATGTACACATCACAATTAATATTGCTGACCTCTCACCACTGTACGATGGAATCAAGATTTCTCCATTCTTGATAACCGACTGCCTTATATCTGTATCTATAAATACTTATTCATGTAATAAGGTTGGTTAATGAAATAGATTTACTTCTTCCTGCATTCTCTCTTTCGCTCCTCTTGCTCCGAGTATCATCGTTCTTGCCATCTGGTCAAAAACTATATTACTTATCACATGAAAATGAAAACTGATTTATCAGCCAAGAATGTGATGATATAAAACAACTTTATGGTTGCTAAATCATTTTAAATCTGTGAATACTTTATATTTCTACAGACCATACATGTGAATGCTATTATTTTTATCAAGTTCAAAACATGTAGTACCTACTTTTTCTAATGCCAATTGTTGTTTGGGTCAATATTTCTCTTAATGGTTACATGTATTTTTCGTTAGTTTGTTCTTGTTACATATGTGGAATTATGACATTCTTTAGGTGCCTGATTTCTAATAATAACATTTTGATTGAATCTATGACTTTTATTCTTGTTGCCTCTTTTATTGTGCACTCTTCAGGATTTTGGCAAGTCCAAAACTAGGGAAGAATTATTGGCTGAGGAAAGAGATTATAAACGGAGAAGAATGTCATATCGTGGAAAGAAGGTCAAGCGAAATCCAATTCAGGTGTGAAACAAACTTCAAATTTTCATCAGAACTTAGCTCCTTTTCTATGGATTTCAGTGTTTAGGCATATGAGACTGTGATTAGTCCAAAATGAGATAGTTAAAATTATAGTACTGTTTAAATATTAAGCCTTTATTTGAGACAACTTTTTAAATACTTTTATGGTAGGAAAAACAATCAATAAAGAACATTGTATATTTGGATGAAAAAAAATTATACAACTTATTTATTGTTTTTCCTAGAATTCACTTTAGAAATGTTGACTGTATAAAAGTATATAACAAAAAAAAAATTCAGAGCAACCGACATACCTCCACGCCGGCCCCACCTCTCCAAACGACACACTGATTCGTTTCGATAACTGCCATTTAGCAAATGAATCAAATAAAATGGGAAAGAATTTCGGAAGGAGGGATTTACACACGCTCGTCCGACTTCGCCTCTCCATTACCGCTCGACTTCGCTTCTTTCGGCTTCTCCATTGTTGCCCGACTTCCTTGCTTCACAGAGGCGTATAGGGTTCTCCCTTCATCTCCTCTTTTTGTCGTTGTTGTTCGGCTCCGTTGCTTCATAGGAGGCCGAGAGATTGCACGCGTCGCCCCGTCCGCTCCTTCCTTGCTGTTCGACTCCGCTTCTACAATTCCCACACCCGACGCCGACCTCCGCCGCCGTCTTAGCCGCCGCCTGCCGACGCCGAGCCCGTGCGTGATCTCCGTCT